CGTCTGAAAGAAGAAAGTCATATACACCTAGGATGCCTCGGGGGTGAGTAAAACGCAGCCTAATTTTCATTTTTGGGTGAACTAACCCTTTAAGATCAGTTTTCTCTGAGTTTACTCAGTCATGGCCATGTCTTAATATTTTCTGTTTTTGCTCTTCAGACGTGGACTTCAACGTTTCAGGCATGTTTGCTATGCCTGGGTGCCCAGGGACCCCTGACTCAGAATCTGGAACCATAGACAGGAGGCGCCCAGGCAGCCAGGGGTCGCTCGAATCTGACACACCCCGCAAAGACAGGTACAAGTCTCATCCCCGCAATTATAGACATGACTCCAACTCCACAGTAGTGTCCGCGTCCTATGTAGTGGCCAGTGAGTCCATCACAGTCAAAGCAGACAGTCTGAGACCAGAGCTGGGGGCTGTTTAGACGTATTCATTTCATATGACACATGCAACTTTCTCAGCCATGTTTGTTTGTGGTTTTGCTTCGTTTTTCTTTAGATTTTTTTGTTTGCTTTTTGTTTTACTTTGTTTTTTTGTCAACCGTTACTTATTGTATGCTTTCTGAAATAAATAAACTTTATGCTCATAGCTATGTATAAACACATTATGGATATATTTCATTATTATGAAATGGGTGCCAAATTCAGAGAAGAAAAAAGTCAGGTTTTTGACTCACTAATGAAGCATTAAAAGGAATGAAAGGTTGTAATGGAATTGTTTGTATTCCAGTAAGTCCAGTTCTAGTTTCTATAATTCCAGTTCTAGTTATTCAGTGAGTGAATGCAGGAAATGTCAGCAGCGCTCCTGTCACTTTGGTATGTTCAGAATGAGTCAAACAGCTCCTCTCCCGCAGGCCATCATACCTAAAGTTCAGAGCTTGAAAAGGTGAATGTTTTTGTGCCTCAGGTACAGGAGAGTCCTTCAGCTGAATGTCACCGGCTGCAGCAGTCACTTTCTAAAAGAGATTTGACTGCTTCATTAATGAACAACTGAAGTACTGCCAGGGTTATTTTAGTAATATTTACAAATACATATTTTTATACATATATTCATTTTATAGTATTTCTTAACATTTTTAATTAGCTTTTTTTTTTTTAGATTTAAATTGTTTACATTTTCATTTTGATTTTAGTTTAAGTTTTAGTAATTTTACATTTATGCATTTAGCACATGCTTTTATCCAAAGCGACTTACAAAAGAGGAACAAAAGCAATTCATGAAAGAGCTGACAGTATTCATAATATACAATACCAGGTTTATCACATTTTGTTATCTGCTTTTCTCATTTTTATAAGGTTTTATATTTATATTTGTTTTTACAAAACGCATTATTTTTCACATAATTTACCTTTATTCCACACCTCTCTGTCCCTTCTCTGAGAAAAGCGCTGATCATTTCTTTCTTTTATGAAGCCCCTCCCTCAGTTTGTAAATGCTACTGCTTATGTTAGCTTTTAATATACAGTTTTATCCTGATTAAAGCTATAATACAGTATGGCAACTGCACGCCCGTCCATGTTTAACGCTTCTCATAACTATGTGAAAATAAGTGTACAATTGTAACAGTTCATTTTTGGAGCTGAGCTGAATGAGATAAACTTGTGAATCCATTAGAATCGTTAGAAGACAGAATCGCGATTCTTATATAAATAGATTTTTACGTGCACCTCTAGTTTTCTTCTTCTCTAAAGCAGCGCAGCATGGCCTCGCCCCCTTTGCTGTCTTTTCCCGAGGGCGGGGTTTATCTGGGTTTGTGATGTCACGAACCCGGGAAGTAACTCGTTGTAGTCCCTACCAGCCATTTTTGTAGGCATTAAACTGCCAGAATTTTAAAAGACGATATCTCCGTTTGCATTGAACTTTCAGCTTCATAACTTTGCAGATATTGTTTATGCTCAAACAGCAACATTGCACACTAACTAACATTAAAAAAGTGAAATCGCAATCAACCACCCCTTTAAAGTAAAAACTATTTTAATAGGTTTAGTTAACAATAACAACACTGATTTTACATTAAAGGGACAGTTCAACCAAAAATGAAAATTACGCCATGATTTACTCACCCTCAGTTTGTATTCGTCTTAAAGAAGAAGGTCATATAAACCTAGGATTGCATGAGGGTGAGTAAATCATGGGGTAATTTTCATTTTTGGGTGAACTATCCCTTTAATGAATGAATACTTAATTTTTTATGTTACAGTGCTTAGCATACACAAAAAATGTTTAAGGTTTTGCAATTAAATTCGGTGGCAAAATATAAAATGTATCAAAGTTTGTTGTGTCCTTTAGTGGTGTAAATTTACAGTATATTTATATATATATTTACATTTAGCAATGCAACATTCAGTTGCATAGTGTGCACTATACTTTATATTTATTGGCTATTTTTGCTCTGTCAGCAAAAATACTTCCAAACAAAAGCAACCATCACAGGTCTCAGCGTAACACACACTAGTGGTTATCCTAAATAATAAAAAAATTTTAATTAATTGGTTAAGTGATATATCAACTATATAACTTGCAGAAAGAGTATATACATACATACATACATATATGTGTGTGTGTGTGTGTGTGTGTGTGTGTGTGTGTGTGTATATATATATATATACATAATTTTTTATGATAATGTTGAAAATGTTCAAGTTTGGATGCTGAAAAAAACAGCATACAAACCATTTGAAATTTCATCCGTTTCCAACACATCTCTCTGGCTGCTGTCCCAGTGTTCAGGTGGTGGTCCTGTCCTTCTCCACCTTTCCTTCTGTGGAGACTAATACCCCACTGTCACGCTCTAGTATGAGTGTTTCATGCTGTCTCCCCTCTTCCCTGTAGCCCTGCTAACAAACAGCCGGAAATCGCCCCTCGTAGAGCTGGCACAATAAATAAAAAGCAGCACTCCATGCCTAACTTCCAGCCCCCTCTCCCTCCCATTGACGCCGGGGGGCTTCCCGTGTTTGAGCTCTCCCCTCTGTTGCCCACTGGCGGGGGTCTGGAGGCTGGGCAGGCGGGAGCTGCGCTTCCTCAGACCCATCAGCCTTTAGTTCAGCAGACTGCGGAGAACAGGTAAGGACTGGTGCGACCGTAAAAACCGCTGCCAGATGTCAGGAGCCGGCCGCTGAAATCTGTGTGTTGTGTGCACATCGTTTTGTGCCATTCTCTTGATTATTGCTTCAAAACGCTGCTTTAAAAACAATTGGGTATAATCACAGAGAAAGGTTATAAACCTTTCAGGAGACCTGGAATAGCAATAATCAAATGCCGTCATTTGTTGCTGTGTCATGCACATCGTCTTTTTGTGCCATTCTCATGTTGTTTTTTGCTTTAAAACACTTTTATAATCAGAAAATGATCACTGGAAAGCCATAAACTATTACTGTTGGACACTTAAGGCATTTTTTACCCTAAATTTATCCAGACAGGGTCATTACTAAAATTCACAGGGACTAATTTTTTATGTATATATATATATATATATATATATATATATATATGGTTAATTCAGGATAATTTTGCTTTTTTTTTCCCAGTCGTCATAATGGCAAATAAAAAACAAAAAATAAAAAAGTGTTCCAATTTACCTGAATTCAGTAAATTATGTTTTAATATATGCTGTGTAAAAATTTTACTGAAACTGTGAAAATAAAAAATTGACAATTTCGAAAAATTGCTTAATAAATTTCGAAAGCTTTTGCGTGCTGGGATTAATCGTGTGTAGGACTTTTTGTTTCAAAATGAATGAAAAATGCAATATAGTTTATTATTAAAAGTTTATTATGAAGTTATAATTTGTATTTTATCAAATGAGGAAGATTGAAGCAAATGCCTCTCAAATCTCAAGTTAAGGATAATTCGTCAAATGATCATGCTGATTCATCCCAGTCAGGGCCAAAATCCTTCTGGTGTCTCTTTTCTGCAGAATATTCTTTGTTGCTTGAATTTGTGTGTCCTGCATTGCCTTTCTCTATTACTTATTCTTTCTTTAGTGGAAAAGATGCACTGCATGTCGAATAAAACACTGCTAACTATATTTCCTTAAGACATGTACTATATATCTGTATTAACTTTTCAGTGCAAGTCATGAACTCAACTTGGACCACTACATTTTAACTTCACTGCATGTGAACTGACCTGTGCATACATACTGCAGTGTGACCCCATGATACAAGCTTTTCTTCTCTCCCCAGTTACATCACCCGAGATCCTGCATCCACACCCCCTGCCATGAGGAACGGCCCGGGAGGTTCGAGCGGGACGCCCGCTCAGCTGAATGTGGGGACCCTGACCTCCGGTCCTAAGGGCCCCAGTCCATTCATGACACGCAGAGGTCAGTCCTAATTGTCGTTATCCTCATATTTTTGTTTACATTTCATTGCGTGATATTAGAGGTTACCGTTTGAAAGTTTGCAGAAATTCAGCAACGATGCATTAAATTGATCAAAAGTGACAGTATTGCCGTTTCAAATAAATGCCGGACTTTCTGTTTATCAAAGAATCCTGTGCAAAATATATCACGGAAGGATCATGTGTCACTGAAGACTGGAGTAATGGCTGCTGAAAATTTGGCTTTGCCATTACAGTAAAAAAAAATTTATATTTTCAAATAGAAAACAGTTATTTGAAATTGTAATAATATTTCACAATATTTCACTTTTTACTGTGTTTTCTATATAATAAATTCAGCCTTGGTGAAAATAAGAGACTTTTTTTCAAAAACGTCAATAATCCTTACTAACACCAAACTTTTGAACAGTAGTGTATATATTTGTATATATATTTTATTTAATTTTGTGTATATATTAAATTGTTAATTTTTATGCTCATTTCATCTATTTTTATATTTATATTACTTCGCGTCGTGCCTACCAACGCCCCTTAGCTGTTCTAAATTCACTGTAAACCACGGCTCCTTGGGGCTTATTGCTTTATAATAACACTGCTACATTATAATGTTGTGATGTCTAAATTCACTTGTAACATTTGAAAGATTTTTTTGTGTGTTTATATTTTGTTTTTAATCAAACTTAGTTAAAAAAGTTAATTAAAATTCAATTCAATTAAAATTATTTTAGACAAAAAGTTATTTGTTTTTAGGACATTTATCAGCAAACTAATTAGAAAAGAATGATTTAAAACGTTATTATCAGTGCATCCCTAAAATGCATGTTGTCTAGTCAGTAAAATCATGTCTGGACTGTTTGTTTTCAGGTACAAAGAAACAAGCGCCACCACCTCCCAAACAGGCCGCCCCTCCCACACCTCAGAGCTTAAAAGCGGCTCCTAACCAGCCCTTAGCCCTGAGCTCCCCTCAGTCTCTCATTGCATCCCGTCGCAACAACCAGACCCCCATCCAGGCCCCCAGCCACCCTCCTCCTCAACCTCCTTCCCAGAGCACAGATGAAGCCGAACCGTCCCCTCCCAGAACGCCCACCCCTCCTGGGACACCTCCTTACGACGGCTCCCAGCCACGCCCCAGGCCCACCCCTCGAGCGCGACCCAAACCCAGCGGCCCGCCACCACCCCAACCAACTAGCGACGGTGCCAATGGTGTCTGTGTTTCTGGCTCCAAGATTATCTCAGGTAAGAATATGCATATCATGGAAAATCATGGAAAAACTCCAACAACATGGTGACATTTTTGCACAAAAAAAAAAAAATAATAATAATAACAATAATAAATATTTTTGTTCTTTTATAAATAAAAGATATAATTGTTTAGAATTATAATTATTTATTGATGTTAGTTCATTATGTTTAAATATAAATCTTTAAATATTAGATATACATGAAAAAAAATTACTTAATTTATTCATATGAAATAAAACCAAAATCTTTTACATTGTATAGCCAATATAATTACAATAAATAATAATGGAAATAATTACATACTTTTATAAATACAAATAAAAAAGTTATTACCATTTAAAATGTAATTAATCATTTCATTTTATTTGTTAAAATACTACAAATAAACCAAAATGTTGTACACTGTATAATTACAGTAAATAATTGTGCAAATAATTACAATGATTTTATTTCCAAAACGAATATTTCATTTTATTTGCAGAAAATAAAAGTACAGCATATGACCAAAATGTTGTACATTGTATAGCCAATATTATGATGATGGAAATAATTAAATACTTTTTTAAATTAAAAAAATCATTATTTTATTATATTAATTCTAAAATGATTCATTGTTTCTATTTATTTCTAGAAAATAAAAATACAGCATATGACCAGATGTTGCAAGCTATATGGTAGCATTTTCATCTTTTTTCTTCATAAATAAAAATAATTGAAAAATACTATGGAAATTCAGAGAAAATAGCACAGATTACTTTATCCTTTTCCTGAGGGCAAATGCACACAACTAAAAAGAATCGACATGTCTGTAACAAGGCTGATGGAAACCTCAAGTGCTCAATGGATGTCATTTACACACACATTTCTACAGCTCGATCAACTCTAGAAACCTGCAAACACACTCATCTAGAGTCTGTACCTCATTAATAGCTCATTATTGGGAAGGAAGCCCAGCACTCGCCCCTGCCAAACAACTGCCCTGAGAGTTTCTCCAGGGTTTAAGCTCCATTAAGCTCGTTTCACATGATGAAAGAAACCTGCAGATGCTGTTGGAGACTAAAAGCTTCATTTTCAGATGATGGTGTCCATAGAGAGTTTTTACACAATCCCAGATCCAGAGTTAACAAGCTTTATTTTCATAAGTAGGTTTGTCAGGATGGATGTAGCACACAGTGTGCTGTTGGTGTTTGATCGATAAATCTTTAATACAGGCCAAAACAGGTCATTTTGTTAACTGTTTTATGCATTACTTACTGTATAGTTGTATCTAGTTTATATGAAACATTTACTTTTAAATATACAATGTAAAGGTTGCAGAATAATTTGATTGTCACATCCTTCAAGATTTTGTTACCTCGATCCTTTAAAGGAATGTTCCAGGTTAAATTAATAATAATAAAGTTAAAAATAAATAATAATAATAATTGTATTAATAATAAAGTGTAATAAAGGTTCATTAAATAGACGTTAAGCTCTATGGACAGCATCCATGGCATGTAGACAATACCTATGAATTATAAAATGTAAATCATTTTAAATAAATAAATAAGGAAATTAAAACGAATTTATATTTTAATAATCAAAAAAATTAATCAAAATAAATATGAGAAGGAATGTTCCAGCTTAAGTTAAATTAAAAGTTAAACTCTATAGGCAGCATCCATGGTATGTAGAAAATGCATCTGAATTATAAAATAGAAATAATTGTGAAAAAATAACAACAACAACAATAATTTAATTTTATCAATGAAAAATAATACAATTTAATTAACTTCTAAAAGGAATTAGAAGTTAAACTCTATGGATAGCATCCATGATGTAGAAAATACTGATGAATTATAAAATGAAAATCATTTAAAATAAATAATCAAGTAATTTACAAATTTATTAATCAAAAAATAATATGAAATATTGGTAAAAGCAAGCAAAAATCCTGTTTACAGAAATGCACTTACAATGGTCTCTAAAGGCAATCATAATAAATGTATAACTACATTTTTGTTCGGTTTTGCCAAATTAAGGAATAAGTTAAAATGATTTCTTGTGATACTCGACAGAATGTTGCAAATGTTGTCAATTGAGCTCAACTTGTACTGACCCTGAAACATTCCTTGAATGTCATGTAATCGATAGAAAATGAATGTTTGAATTTGTATGTTTACACTGGCTTCAATATTTTACATAAAAATCTCCTCCTGAAACGGAACATTGCTGGAGTTGAACAGAAATGTATCCAAAGAAAAAAAACATTTTAAACAGGGAGAAAGAAAAAAAAGTCTTCATTTGAAAGATGAATTCTATTCTTGGAAAACCGAATGTTCCGTGACAGTTAATTATCATCATTTATTATTATTCATTATGCCTTTCAGCACCTTTGTGATGTTTATTTGTCGTTGGCATCCATTATTTCAACTCAGAACTGAACACAGATCTTTAGTTTAGTGTTGAATACCAAAATTGACTTTCAGCCCCACACACACACATCTTCATGTCTGGATTTCACGTCGTGTGTAATAATCTTAGTGGTAAGTTTGGGTCAGTGAAACCACATGCTGCAGTAGACGGATCAGTTTCCAGCGGTTGTGGAAAGATCAGCAGCTGCCAGGAGTCCTTCAGTGTTTAGCCTGAGGTTCAGACGCTCTCCTGCTTTACTGCACACTGCATCTGCATGAGAGAGAGAGAGCTGCGATGCTGTCACGTTTAATGACATTACCAGCACCATGATTAATGCTCCTATAGCATTGTTTAAAGAAATCACCACTTTCAGTGTTTAATGACTCTTTTTTGGTGGTTCATTGCCATCAGAACTTCATCCGAAAAGCCAACATGAAGTCAAAACCGCCCCTGTTTACTTTCCTAACACACGTTCCTGATATTATTGTGTACAGTTTGTTAGTACATGTTAATCTGAAGAAAAATACACTTAATACAGTTTAGAGAAGTCTCTTATGGTCAGCATTTTTTTTTTTTTTTTGAGTAAATAATACATCAAAATTGTGAAATATAATAACAATTTAAAATAACTGTTTTCTATGTGAATATATTTTAAAATGTAATTTCTTCCTGTGATGCAAAGCTGGATTGTCATTACTCCAGTCTTCAGTGTCACATGATCCTTCAGAGATCATTCTGATATGCCGATTTGCTGCTCAAGAAACATTTCTTATTATTATCAATGTTGAAAACAGTTGTGCTGATTATTATTTTTATAGAAGCCATGATACACTACCATTCAAAAGTTTGGGATAAAATTTGTTATACTTTTATTCAGCAAGGATGCATTAAATTGAGCAAAAGTGACAGTAAAGACATTTCTAATGATTTTTTAAAAATCCTGGAAAAAAAGCATGAGTTTCCACCTAAATAGTAAGCAGCAAAATTTAAACATTGATAATAATAAGAGTCGTTATTAATAACTGAGCGCTAATAATAATGCAACACCAAATCAGCTTAGAATGATTTATGAAGGATCATGTATAACATGTATAACAGGAATAAGTAACAATTTAAAATATATTCAAATGGAAAATAGTCATTAGAAATTGTAATAATATTTCACAATTTTACAGTTTTTACTGTATTTTTAATCAAATAAATTGCAGCGTTGGTGAGCATAAGCAACTTCTTTCAAAAACATTTAAAAATCTTACCAACTCCAAACTTTTGACCAGTGGTGATTGTAATTAGCATAATCCAATGAATTGTGACATTATCGAAGTAAAATGGGTTGCAGACAGTGTTTCATGTTGACTTTAAAAGGCTGAGATGTGATTGGATTGGCTTTGTGGAAGCTCACAGCCATCTGAATTGTGATTGGCTGCTGGTTCGTGGTCATCAGTGTTTGATCCTCTGAACATGTTGTGACGTTGTTGCACTGTTACAGATGTGTGATCTTCTGCCTGTGAGGTGTGGTTTGAGTGGCAGGCGATGGTAAGAACTCTGGGCGTATCAGTTGATGTATTCTCAGCTCCATCTGTGTGTCTGACCGCTTTCTTTGCCTGTTTAACCCGACTAACAGCAAGTTAACCTGCATGACAAGCTGCCTAACCAGTGTCTTTGTGGCATGTTTTAGGATAAAATACCAGCACATGCTTTATGCAACTAAACATGCAGCAACTCCCTTCCTATGAACCTCAGCTGCTTCTGCGGGGTGAATGTTAGCTGTGCCACAGATACTGTATTATTTAGCATTATTGATTATTTTACATTTTAACATGCTACAGTTTTGAAAGTTTTGGGGTCAGGTTTTTTTTTTTGTTTTTTTTTTTGAAAGAATTAATACCTGTATTCAGTAAGGATGCATTAAACTGATCAAAAAGGACAGTAAAGACATTAATAATGTTACAAAATATTTTTTAGAGTAAATGATGTTCCTTTAAACGTTCTATTTCTCAAACAATCCTGGAAAAAAAATAATCACAGTTTTGACAAAGATATGAAGCAGCACAACTGTTTTCAACATTGATAAGAATTTTTTTCAGCAGCAAATCAGCATATTAAAATGATTTCTGAAGGATCATGTGACACTGAAGACTGGAGTAATGATGCTGAAAATTCAGTTTTAATATCACAGGAATATATTATATTTTAAAAGTATATTAAAATAGAAATCCGTTATGTAAAATTGTAATAATATTTCACAATATTACTGCTTTTGCTGTATTTTTTATCAAATAAATGCAGCCTTGTTGAGCATAAGAGACTTTTCAAAAACATTAAGAAAACTTACTCAACCCAAATATATATATATATATATTAGTTTATTTGAATGTCTGTCTGTCACAACTAAACTACATTATTTTCATAATGCTGTAATTTAAATAAAATTATATTAATATTGGTTATCATCCAAGTGCATCTTGTTGAATGATACATTCTTGGTGTCTCAACTATTGCTTGTTTTCCTTGAAGGCCAGTTTTTTTGGAAGTTTAATTTTGGTGTAAATATGATAAATTGCTTTCGTTGAAATATCCTAACTATGCTTTATGATTGCACAGATGGAGATGGAGATGGAGAGGAGAGATCTTTGATGGGACTAGGGCTGGATCTTGTCCCGGAGCTTGAGGAAGATGAAACCACAGAAACACTCCCAGAAGATGAACACCAATCAGAAAACACCGCCCTGTGAGGTGGGCGGAGTCCAGTCTTCACACAGCCAATGGAAAGCTATGTTCGTAATGGAATACTAGCATACTTGTTGTATAGTTTACTATTGTTTTTAAGGATGTGAAAGTATTCAATATGATAAAACATTTTAAACATGACCTCAGTTACCTTATGAGTAAATATAGATATTAAGCATTCAGATTTAAGTAAAAAAACATTTTTAACTTTTGTGAGAATGATCAAATAAGGAGTCATCGCAGTTGCTTCTGGTTCAAAAGTCACACTGGAAATGGAAGGTCAAGTCGATGCATTGCATTGTGGGATATGGTACCCAGCACAGTGTGCGATTATAGTAGGTCATCTGGGTATTCTAAGCATACAGAAAATGTGTATGGCATCATGCAAAGTATACATACAGCACAAGTAGTGAACGTAGTATGGTAGTATGCTATTCCGAACATAGCCATTCACTTTAACCTTTGACCCCTACAGAAAACAATACATTTACACAATCTCTCTGTCCTCACAATGCTGGCACATTGTAACCATATACCAGGGGGGAAAAAAACAGTACGCACATGTAAACATGCTATACAATCTTGATTTCATTCACAAATGGCATAAAGCTGGTTTGGGTTCTAATCAAATATGAATGTCTTTTGAGTTTTGTGATGTTTTGCATAACAAGTGTTATATATAGTGCCTTGAAAACCCATAAATCAAATCACTGAGTTTGTGTGACTGATGTCTTTTTGTTGGTTATCATGGTGAATGTCCTTTATTCAAATGTATTTTAATCATTCCTTTTGTCTTTTAATACTTCTTTTAAGATTGGACAAAAATTGGATTTAAAAAAAGACAATTCAAAAATAATGGTTATACAGATACAATTGATTTACTACATGCAAAAATATGATTTGTACTTTGAAGTATTTTTTCCTGGGGTGCAATACTGACTGCAATGTAGTGTTATGACATTACAGTCGTTTTTTGTATTAGTTTAGTAGTTTTTAACAATTGTAATTATGTTTTACAGGGTTTACTTTAGTGGAGTATGTACTACCGAGTACCATTATCAATTTACTCATCCACTGTTGTCCATTAAAATAAACCCTGCACATACTATTATGAAATACTTCATTCTCAAAATGATCAAAGATGCTTTTTTTTTTTTAAGTGTATGATCCTGTGTCAGAGCTTTAGGGGGTTGTTTCGTGTTGTATGTGATGCACAACATTAATGTGAATGAAAGGGCTAATGGCTCAGTCAAGCTCAGGAACATTCATTCCTTTCATGAATGAGTATGTGTCTTTATTTCTGTGGATATGTTATCTTGAATGGGCTTTCTTAATTGTACATATTGATTTTTTTTTTTCTGTTTCACCCCCTTTTGTACACGTGTGTGTGCACATTTCCTCCATCTGAATTCTCGTTCGTCACGTTCTCCAGTGCCTCGGATGAACAAATGTTGTACAAATTCATTTTTTCAACACCGTAGCTGTTTTCTGATTATATATCTAATAAAATGCTTAATTGCAGGAACCAAATATATCTCAGGTGTTTTTTAAATACTGTTTAATTTACAGAAACAAGGACAAATTGGTGAAGTGTTAAACTGATTTATGATGATGTATAAATAAGCATATTGGGGTTATTATTAAGTACATACTCCATGAAGATTTTCTTTCACACCAGTCACAATACATTATAAAGGGGAAGTGACTATGCCCAGTAAGCGAAGAGAAACACGGCCACTGACATACAGATGATGAGGTTGGCGTTTACCAGGTGTCTCATACAGGGGTCTTCCTCGAGGGAACACGTCAGAGTCTCTGAAGGAGGAGGAGACTTGGGCTTCTCTCCTTTTTGCTTCTCTATTCCACAGATCCAGAACAGAGCAGATTTGAGTTTAGATGAACCCGTCGTGCTGGACGCAGAACTACAGGTGTCTGGTGACAAATAATGCATTTAGAATTACATGTAAACAGATTGAAACATTTCAATCAAGTTTTACCTGCATGAATATACTTTGGGGATTAAGTGCATTTTATTTTTTTATTATTATTTGCAGATTTTTTACAATTTTTATGTAATGCACTGATGTTCAGATATTAAATGTGATGTAGAATGCTAAGTAATTTTTGGTGTCATTGTATGCTTAAATCTATTTAATTTTCTCCCAATATTTTAGATATTATTCTCATATCTTTCCCCTCATTTCAACAAATTTCAAATGTCAAATGACTTTGTCTCCCTCTGCTGGATAACTGCACTATTAAAGTCAAAGAAATAGGCATAAAATTGAGAATAGATCCGAATAAACTGGACAATTTACATTACCATTTACTGTATCTGTGCCTGCATATGGATTGGACAAAGTACCTTCTTTTGTAGGATATGCATCATTTTCCATGTCTTTTGGGTACACTGTGGCATCCTCAAACGTCTGGAGATCTGAAACCACAACCTCTTCGCTTTCTTTCACAGGATCAAAGCGTGTGTACCACGTCAATCTACTGATCTGGAAAATAACAAACCCTGTATATGAGCATATTTCTCAAAATAAAGGGATAGTTCACCCAAAAATGTTAACCTTCTCACCTTCAAGCTGTGCCAAACATGTATTAGTTTCTCTTTGTCTGTTGAGAACATAAGAAACTATTTTGAAGAATGTTAGTAACCAAACAGTTGACCTTAGCCATTGATTTCTATAGCGATTAAATTAATACAGTATTTTCATTTTTGGGTGAACTATCCCTTTAAGGTTTATAAGCGGCATTTCTGATTTCAAAGGTTTTTTTTTTTGTGAAATTGCAAACTGGGTTAGGGTTGGTCTTTTGTGTGTGTGTTTTCTAACCTGCTCCAGTTTGGGCTTCTCTGTAGCCAGACTAACACACACAACCACGATGAGTGTTGTGTGTGTGTGTGGGTGTGTGTGTGTGTGTGTGTGTGTGTGTGTGTGTGTGTGTGCTTTCTAACCTGCTCCGGTTTGGGCTTCTCTGTAGCCAGACTAACACACACGACCACGATGAGTGTGAGGAGGGTGAGAATGATGGAGAAGTATAGGTAGTGAACATATCTGATGATGTCTGGCCTGGTGTCGCTCTCATAGCACTGTGGTGTTGGATAGACGAAATCCAGAATCATCCTTGTACAGCCCACCACCATGCCCACTATCAGACCCCAGAATGCACCCTACACCAACACAACATGAAAAATGAATGAAACAAGAGGCCATGTGTGTCCCAAATTGCGTACTTATGCACTGACCTCTGAACATCTGACCTCTATCTTTTTTTGTAGAATAAATTAGTGTGTTAAACTGAAAATTCCAAAAGAGTGCACTTCAAATACTCTGATGATGGGCTTGCTTAATGTGAAAAAACCCAAACAAAACAAAACTGTGAAATGTTGAACACTTAATGCACTCAAAAAAGCAAAGAAGGGGCTATTAGACTCAGATGCTAGATGATAAATAACCTTCTGAAATTCATACACTAGACAGAGTGCATGATGGAAAAAATGCTTTGGTAAAACATAATTATGAGATTTAAAAAAGTTGAAATTATGAGATGATATGTCATAATTATGATGAGATAAGTCAAACCATGACAATCAATTATGAGATAAAAGTCACAATTATGAGATAAGAAGTTGAAATTATAACATACTGCCATTGAGAAGTCTGAGATTCTAAGTCATAATTATGAGATACATTTATGAAATTAAAAAGTTGAAATTATGGCATACTGTCATAATTATGAGATAAAAGTTGAAAGTCATCATTATGAGATAGTCATTCAAACAAAATTATGAAAGTCATAATTCTGAGATAAAAAGTTGAAACTATGACATACTAAGTCATTATGAGACAACGTTATTATAACAAAAAGACAAAATTATGACTCATCATTATAAGATAGAAAGTCATTATGACAAAAAGAAAAAAATTATGATTCATAATTATAAGATAAAAAGTTAAAACTATGATATAGTAAGTCATGATTATGCGTCACAATTGACAGTCAAAGTCATAATGACTGTCAAAAGTTTGGCTTTTTATGTTATTATGATTTGCCAAAGCATGTTTTTTTTTTATTCTGTGGCAGAAATGGGCTTACGTAGTACATATATAAGTGCATAGTGTATAGTAGGTCATTTGCGACACAACTACTGTATGAGTGAGTCATTGATTCATTCACTCAGCTGACTGTTCAAATGCTGATTCATTCAGGAAATCACTGCTGTCTGTTGATCAGAGAAGTGCAACAATACTGGTGTGGTTTTTTAAACTATTTTCATTGGTGGAGCAAAAATAGACAAAGCAACGGGCAAAATATATTTCAAATAGAAATATCACACTATATATGGTGTTGCTGGTCTTGATATTCACTGTGATTACTACAGCAAAACCCCACCTGCGCTAACCAGTGCTTTTGCCATACTACTTAAACATTATTCACAATTTTACCCATAATATAGGTGTAATTTTATACAAATTATTAATGAATGCTCTTCAAAATCAGATACAATTTAAAAATGGGAAAAAATTAACTCTTGCTTGATCTTGTAAGTACATAGGTTTTGTACCTTCTCATTGGTTCGTTTCCAGAAGCATCCCGTGAAGAAGACGACCGTTATGGGGGGCTGCAGGTACATACTGATAGACTGGATGTAGATGAAGAGCTGCCCACCCTGACTGGCCTGAACCAGAGGAATCCACAGCACTGACACCACCACTAACACCAACACAAACACTCTTTGACATGGAAACACACATACACAGCAGCTGAAACAGTCCAGCTTTACAAGAGCGCAAAATGTAGCATTTGCAGTTGTAGAATGACAATACTAGATTCATTTACCATAAACAAACTAACAAAAGAAAGATTTTATTTGTTAACAGCTTCTAACCACCCAACATCATGAGATGTTGATATTTGGTTGAATATAAGTTCTGACATCGGGTGACAAGAATTCTATGTCAGGACAATGTCTAAGGCCAATGTCAATATGACGTAGAACACTGACAAATACTGATGATGTTGATATTTTGTTGGTTTTAATTTGTGCTATTAAGTAATCAAAATTCAATGTCTTTCAAGCCATCAATATTGACGCTAAAAACTGACAGTTAATTGTGAACCATGAAAAAAACAATGTAATCAAAAACCAATGTCTGCTAAACATCAAAATGTTAATGTCCACATATCATTATATGTTGATATTTGATTGGTTTTCAGTCATGGTATTAAATAACCAAAATTCAGCGTCTGTCCAATGTTGGAGGTTTATGCAAACCAACGCTGGGTTTTGGCATCAACTCGATTTTCCTTTCCAACCAAAATTCAACATTTTCCAATGTTGGAAGTTGATGTCAAGCCAATGTTGGGTGTTGGCATCAAAATGATTTTCATTTCCAACCAAATTAACACTGACGAATACTGCTGATGTTGATATTTTGTTGGTTTTACGTTGTGGTATAAAGTTACCAAAATTCAATGTCTGTCAAACATCATATTGATGTTAAACACTGACAGTTAATCATGAGGTAGCCTATGGTAATCAAAAACAAATGTCTGCTAAATATGACAATGTTAATATCCACATAACCGTAAATGATAACATCATTAGATGTTGATATTTGATTGGTTTTCAGTCATGGTATTAAATAACCAAAATACAGTGTCTGTCCAATGTTAGAGGTTGATGCAAGCCAACGTTGGGTTTTGGCATCAACCCGTTTTTCATTTCCAACCAAATTAACTACAGCCTGATGTTGGAGCCTTTCTGTGTACTTTTAAATGCAAACAGCCATTCTATGTCAGGACAATGTTTAATGCCCGTGTCAATTTGATGTAGAACACTGACAAATACTGCTGATGTTATTTTGTTGGTTTTAAAACATGCTATTAAGTAACCAAAATTCAACGTCTTTCCAATGTTGGAAGTTGATGTCAAGCCAATGTTGGGTGTTGGCATCAAAACGATTTTCATTTCCAACCAAATTAACACCGACGAATAATACTGATGTTGATATTTGGTTGGTTTTAAGTCATGCTACTAAATAACCGTCTTTCAAACATCATATTGACATTAAACACTGACAGTTAATCATGAGGTAGCCTATGGTAATCAAAAACCTACACGTTAAAACATCATAATGTTAATGTCCACACAACGTTAGATTACAACATCATTAGACGTTGATATTTCATTGGTTTCAAGTCATGGTTTTAATTAACCAAAATCATGGTGGGTGACGTCAAACCAACGTTGGGTTTTGGTGTCAACTTGATTTTCATTTCCAACCAAACTGTCCAGTGCTGGAGTCTTTCTGGGTACTTTTAAATGCAAATAGCCATATTCAGGAAAGAGAAATTGATCAATTGTCCTTTAAAATCTAGTTTGTATATCAGCTTGTTGATGTCAAACCTTCCCACAATCATGAGCTCCCACTCGGAGGCAGTGCGGCGGATGTTTCTCCAAAGGTCCATGGTGAAAATAGTGCTAGAACTGTTGAATATGGAGGTCAGAGA